AAATAAAAAAAAAAATAAAAATAAAAAAAAAAACAAAAATAAAATATCTACGAATAAATAATAATAAAATAATAATATATAAAGTTGCGGTTAAGGTTTAATGTTTCCCAAAATTAAAAGAAATCATCCATCAAAAGATGATTTCTAAATAAAATAAATTAATTTAAATAAAACACCCAATTCCGCAACACTCTATCAAATTAAGTAAAATTAACTAATTCTTTCTATACTTATTTGTTTTTCTCATTTCCATTACTACTGCTTCCATTAATATCATTATTTACTATTGAAAGATTATTTCTGAATAGATTTCCTGACGCGGTTGGGGATGTTGGTGATGATGATAATCTATTCATGGTTTCGATATTCGGTCTATTCCATATATTATTTGCATGATATGCACTCATTCTAGATCTTGTGGAGAATGATGATGTACTTGCTGGTCTCCATATTCCTTTCTCATCATTAAAAGGTTTCCCTATTTTTAACAATGACGGAAAAGGTTCGATTTCATCATCTTCAAATTCTCGCATATCTTCATATGTTGTATTCGTTGTACGTGTTTCTTGACTATTATAGCTTGTTGATGATGATGATACTATCGGTGATGAAGGTCTTCGTAATGGGGATGTAAATCTACGTGGTGAATTATACCGATCTGATATTCTCATGCTATTTGGTCGTGAGGTTGAAATTGGTGATGTTGGAGCCGATGCTGATTGACGTGGTATAATTGAATTATTTCGTATTAGTGGTGATTGTGGTGATTGTGGTGATGACGGTGATGACGATCGTTTAATTGATGATGTTGATGAAACTGTTTCATTATCTTTGTTATTATCATTATAATCTCTTAAAGGGCTAGAAAGTGGGGGAGTTCTTCTTGGTGCGGGTGAAAGTCCTCCCAATATTGGAACAGCTGATTTATTTGATAAACTTGATATAACATTATTTTGTTGTGGTAAAGGTTCTGAAGAATCTATCGCTGTAATCGCTGTAATCGCTGTAGCGGTAGTTGATGAATAAGTTGATGATGAGGACATTGATAAATTATTTCTATTTGGTTTTTGATTAAATAATGATGAATTTTCATCTTTAACAGACGATACTGTATTTTCATTTGATACTTTCTTTACTTTTTCTGCTTCTATTAAACTTTCTCTTGAAGCTGCAATAATTGACCACCTTTTCTTAGTTTTTGAAGTTATACTATTTTTACTTGATACTGTAGATGGAAGTTCCTCTTGCATTTCATTTGGTAAATTCGTATTTCCTTCTGTTATAAATGTTCTTATAGAAATAGATACACTATCTCTAGGTTCCTTTTCTGAATTTGATCCTACATTTCTTACTATATTAACATGAATTGAATCATTATTTCGCCTAAAAATCAAAAAAAAAAATTTATATATGTATTAGCCAAAAAAAAAATCAATAAAAATAACATAAAAAGAAAATTTTATTTTTATTTACCCTGTAATGAAATCATAGACTGGTGAAAAACAACTAAATTTCCACCAAACATATGCTTCCTTATATTGCTTAATTGATGAACCATTAGTTGCAAATATGAAAAATATTATTGTTAATGTTGTCATACCAATTCCAACTGATAGATAATTACAGAATGTTATTTCATTCAAATCAATTGGTTTATTCCAATACTTAAAATATTTTACCAGAGAATATATACTATATGGAATACCTAATAATGTATATAAAATACAATATAATGCCATTCGTGTTATGGCTTCATTGGGTATCTTGTTAGAACTTTGAGATGTTGATGGTAAATCAGATGGTAAACTTTCCGTTACTGGTGATGTTGGTGATGTTGGACGAACTATAGCATCACTTGAAACCTCTCTGGAGCGGGATGTCATCGTTGGATTCGTTTCTGTTTGACTGAAAGATTCTCGATGTTTACGTTGAGCTTTAATTGCCATTATCACAGATGGGATTATTGCAGCACCTGATTATCATAAAAACGCGTTAAAGCATTAAATACTACGTTAATATAATTAATATTTGATCGAGCCTTTCAGATAAATACATTAGACAATTTCTCGATCACTTGTAAATTAAAAAAAAAAAAAATCTCAGTACAATTGAAAAACAACCCTTTTTTTTTTAAAAAAAAAAAGGAAAGAAAAAGACAAAAAAACCAGTCGTGCAGAATCAGAAAATAAAGGAAATTAAACAAAATAGTTATATAATGTCGCATGATCCAATTTTTTTTTTAATTTTTTTAAACTTTTGTTCCAAATTTCTATCATATTCATCTTTTTTTGTATTAATTTCGATCGATACCTACATGCTATCAAAGATCCAGGAATTGAAATAAACAAAAAAGGGAGAACTCTTACAAAAACTACTCCCCAAATGTTCCCTGCCCATTGAACATTACACCATCCACCATCTATTATATCTACAATTGGAATTTTATCAATTAACATTAGGATTATATTTAATAAGATACAAAGGGTAGGTTGAAAACAACAGAAAAAAAGAATGATAAATTTCAATATCCAACTATCTCTAATGGCTCTACTCTTAATCCTAAACATTACATAAAGCTCAATCGATAAGGCGAATACTATGGAAAAAAGTGCCATTGATTGTATTGCAAGCAATATTCCTGTGATATGGCACATAATTAATTCTTTTTTATTTAAATCATCAATTTTTTTATTTCCAGGAAGTGAGATGGCAGCAATTAAAAAAGAAAGACAAAACAATATTCCCGTGAAACCAAGACAAGTAAGAATGAAGGCACGCCTCTTAGCTTGTATATACGTATTAGCACATGAAAATAAGAAGACTATACTACACAAAGCTATGAACCACTGTTGCATAATGCAGAAATTCAAGCTGAACAATTTATTTCTTAATGTTTTTTTTTTTACAACGAGTGAAAAAAGGATTTTTTTTTCTTATAAAATTTTCAAAGTTTTCTTCTTTCACCTCGTCTCCTTATTGTCTGCAAGAGTAACATGAAGAAAAAAAAAATTAAAAGAAAGAAATAGTAAATAATAAAAGTACTAATATTAAAAATAAATAAAAAAAAGGAAGAGGTGGAAAGTTTTTGGAGAATTCAATTGATATATATTTTAACTGTAAATGATCACAGGATCCATAAAGGTGGTAAACCAAACACAAATTATTTCTTGAGACTTTTTCATTGTGAAAGATTTACTATGCAAAAGCATGGATTGGTGCGTGAGTTTGAAAATGTGTGACCTCCGTGACTCCTCCTTGCATTTCAACTATTAATAAACTGAATTAAGAAATCGACTTACTGGTTGTGAATCAAGACAACTGACAAATTAAATTTAACGGTTATAAAAAAAAATACAAGAATTTACGTTTACTTACGGGGCGAACCTTAATTCTCCAAGAAAGATTTTGGTGCAACGATTCATAACTGATCCATTCCATTCTTTGAATTGTACGACTTGAATTTTTTTACCTTTCCTATAAATTATCAAAACACTCCCCCGAACACAACGCGAACCGCCGTTATTTATCCTAAAAGGATATTTTTTTAATTTTTTAAGAAAACAAAGAAAAGGAATTCCGTCGCGGATGGTATACTTTGAATCTTCCGATTAAAATTTGATAATTCTCTTGTCTATCCTCTTGTTTTTTTTTTCTTTTGCGACAATGAAAACAAAATTTGAATATTTAACGCATTTTAGCAAACAAACAAACAAATAAATAATCGTTCCGGGATCCCTTCACCTGATAGTTGATATTTCGAAGATATGATAAACAAAATATTGGAAATTAAAGAGGATAAAAGCACGTGCTTTAGAACTTTATTCGGCATCTTAGAATAATATAATACCTGGGATTAAAGAAATGGCTAATTTTTTTTGTTCTTATGATTCGTCGGAAATCCCGTTTATTCCAAAAATTTTCTTTGTTACGTCACGTACATTTAAGAAAAACAAACATATTTACTTTTTTTCAAGTGATATTACGTTAGGAGTTTAGGTTTAAATTTAGATAACAACGAATTCCCTTACTTAGGTACATGCATGTACTTTGAATAGTTTTACTTAATAATAGTAAATGTTTCGGAGACAATGAAACGAAAATATCTTTTTACAATATATTTATAACTCACAGAAAAGTTTGATTAAAATATTTTGGTAAAAAAAAAAAATTCCAATCTTCCGAATTTTCTAAAAAAAAAAATCATTAAAATTACCCAAATTGTCCTTTAATTCCGTAAACATATTGTTCTACATTCCGTCCATCAGTTCATAGTTAAACAATTAAATCGAAATTTGAAACACAAAAACAAAAAAAAAAAAAAATCATTCCCTTTTAAGGTCTTATTTAAATCTCCAAATTATACTAATCGTCTTGAATGTGTGAAATTAAATCCCAGCAAGATCGCTAAGGGTAAATGAACATCAAAATTAATAATTGTTAAGCATTTTTGAGAACGCAAAATTTTTGAGAATTTAATGTGATACAAGCTAATCTTGCCAAGAGAAAGAGTAAGAATATGAATCAGGAAGTTTCGTATTTTTTTCGAAGGAACGAATCTTGAATCTAGACATGAGGAAAATCAAAAAATCTAAATGCTGAGTATTTTTTGTAATACACTGAATACAGTAGTACCGGGCATCAGTATTACAGTATTAACCTTTTTAATTATACATTAATGACCAACCAGTTATCGATAGTGTACACTTTATCTGTTACTAACAATTATATCTTTTAATTATTCGCGTTTATCTTATTATTGGATATATGCATATTTCGTATTTCGCTTCCTTGAATTAATTAAATTTTAAAACGTTGTGTATATTAATTTTTAATGTTATATGAATAAGAAGCTAATTTATCCGATGCAAGTTGGGTACTAAATTTCTCTTTTTCAGTAATAATTCTAGTATTATCCATGTCTGTTGATGAATTCATAATATGATGGTCTCACGGATAATCCTGATACAGATTTACCTAATACAAGGAGCGTGGTATTAATTTATTAATTTTAATTTTGCCATTTTAAGGATGGCCATGTCGTTGTGAGTAAGGGAGTTGTTATTTGCTGAGTCATTATCGCGTATTATTACGAAATCTCTACCATGCATATTGCATAATCCGCAAGTATTCGAATAATAATGTAGGACCACTTCCAAATTTTTGTTGATCATTAAAAGTTGCAAAATTCTTGTTTGCAATCGTATATATATATATATCATATCCACTAACTTTTTCCATCTCTGAATCATAATTAATATGTTCAAATATGTTCCATTATAGGAAATTTCAGCACTGATTTTTATTCTCCTAAACAATATTACTTAGCTTTTTTTTCTTCACATAAATGTAGCGCTTAGTAAATTTCAATTATATTTGCTTGTTGTACCTATTTTTATTTGTAGTGGTTTTTATTATATTAATTAAATTTAATATATATAATATATATTTTATTTTTTATCTTTAAAATATTTTTTATTTTTTATTAATATTAGAAATTTAATTATTTTCAAGAGTAAATTTTTTCATTACTATAGTAATACATTACCTCTAGTCAAAATTGTATATTGTCAACAAAAATTAATACATATAATCATTTAAAGAGAGATGTAAAAATTAAATTCCCAGAATACATATAAAAAATTAAAAAGAAAGAAATGTAATATGAGTAATAAAAGTGTAGTGATAATATTACATGTGTAATATACTGTATTTAGTTTATGATTTAATTATATAATATTAAAGCCATTGTTTTTTTAACATCCAGATTTTCTGAAAAGTTTGAAAGAGAAAGGGATCTTTATTAAATAAACTAAATAAAATAAACATAATAAAACTTTGGAAATTTTAGAAAATTCAGAAAATTTAATGAAGGCATTTAAATATATATTATTATATATTTATTAAAATTTTAGATTTTTAAAAAAATAAAAGAAAATATATTAAACAAACAATCTCTTAAATTATAAAGGCTGTTATTTAAAAAAATTGGAAAATATGATTTTATAAATAAAGTACAATTTTTATTTTTTTAATTAAATTTTTAAAATTTTAATGTAATTGGTATTTACTTAAATTTGTATTATTTAAACTGAATTTTTTAAAAAAAATTTATAATGTTTTCTAGTCAAAATTATAATTTTTAGCTAGAATTAAATGATACTACTACTGGTGATTTTTAGTAATACTCTTTATATTTTATTATTAGTTTTATAAAAATTTTATTTATATTCTAAACTCTTCATAACTCATTAAGTAAAGTTATAAAATAGGCAAAAATATACATAGTAATTAAATTTTTAAGGCTTTATAATATGTATATAAGAATTGCAATATGAATATTAAAATTTTAATAGAGTCACATGATAATAAATTTACTATATAAAAATTACCAAAAATGAAAGGTATGCATATATGCAAATGTACACAAATTTTATTTCCTTTTATTAAAATATTTTGTTTTATTTTATATTTGAAAATTAATGTAAATTATTTGAAAATCTATTAGTATAGTATATTAGTAAAGTTAATTTAATTGTCTAATAAAAAAAAAACTTTAAAACAATATATATAGTAATCAGTACTTGAATTTTATAAAGTAGTAACTATCTTTTTTTTTTTTTTTTAATGATTTATATATGCTTTATTGATATGTAGTTTATATACCATACAAACAAATTATCATAAGCTATATCCATCCAGAAGGATGCAATCATTAAAATAATATAAAGTAACTATCAGAATTCTTTTAATTTTATTATTAATAGTAATTTTAAAATATAATTAATTAAACTTTTTTTACTTATATAACTGATATCATTATTTAAATATTTTCTTTATCCAAAAAAAAATAAAATTAATTAACTAATAAATAGATATTAAAATTAATATATACTTTAGTAAGGGTTTTGCTTTTAATCACACCTATGTTATGTCATACCTCTATAATATGTTATATATAAAAGTCAAAAATAACACTCTAATAAATCCTTTTTGATATATTACAGTCTGGGATATTTCCAAAATTGGATTGTGTAATGGATCACGTTCTGGAATGATTCTAGAATGATCGGCAATTACACCAACATTTTAATTGGTTAATCCCTGTCATATTAACGTGATTTGGTGAAAGAATTTCTCACGATATATTCTTTGAAACTGCAAAACGTAATTATAAAAATACGTCATAAAAGGTATGTATTTTCATAATCAGTGAATATTTTTTCATAATCAACTCTCTTTCAAAAAGGTATGAAGACCATAAAATGACTATAAAATGACATAATTTCATTTTAAATGCTTTTTTTTTGAGTTTCATTAACATTTTTTTTTATTTTTATTTTAACTTTTTTCTTAATTTTATTGTAGTGATAATGTGCGAAAAATCATATGCTAAAGAGCTGCCTTTTTCGCAAATTTAGTAATCACATATGAGCGAAAAGGTTTGAGAAAATGTGAGACAAACCATCACAAGTATGGTGACAATGTGACATGTCTCCTTCTTTATCATACTTTTATCCTGAATCAATTACAGAAATATCAAAGATTTTGGGTTTATTTAAGAAAACTTAATTTTCTTAATCCAATGGAGGCAAAAACAGATATTAAGAGTCTAGGTGGAGAGAGTAAATTGAGTGACCAGTTGAAAAATTTTAGTAATTTGGCAAAAAAGGCATGACAAGAATATATTATTGAAGTGT